ACCTGGTGGTGAAGAATAGTCACCCACCACCTTTTAGTTCGGTGCCACATGTAGAGTCATTAGTTTTTTTTTTTTTTTTTTTTTTTTTTTTTTTTTTTTTTTAAGCAGGAAACGTGAAATACGTGCCGTGCCCTCTCCGGGACTCGAACACTGGGTCTCTCGAATAGGCGTCGAGTATGCTTCCAATTACACCACGAAGGCATGCGGAAAGGAGCGACCTTATACACTAATCATATTCAATATCAAGCCACATGTTTAACTTTCCTACAGCAACTTTCAGGGCTGGACACCTGGTAATGCCGCAGAACGGATGTGGCCGTTTAGTTCCTTTGGCAATTCACAACAGGTTATTAATAAGCTTTCATGATAATTAAGGTAATTGTGCAATCTATCGGTAAGAGTTAGAAACATCGTAGTTTCCGTTGGTTAGGATCAAACCATGAATTTTGGGGCTCTAAAGTGAATATAGCCAATGCACTAAAAGCATGTTTCAAGTTTGGACCTTAAATTCCTCTTTGTTATTTTCTGCAAGAAGATAGGTTCGCTGCATTACTGTTGATTGTGGGCTACTTGATGCATCAGGATTACCAGCATTTTCAGATTTTGTGAATAAAAATGAATCAGAAAATAATGACAAAATCTCTGAAAAACCTTGAAAATGAAGTTGTTTCCATAAGCGTTTGCAAAGTGTTCTTTAACTTGCATTATATTTTCAATCCTTAAATTAATAATCCTTCTTTAAATATAAATATTTTATGAAACAAGTATATTCAAAAGGAAACAGCATTTCCAGTTTCGCATGTGCATAATCTTTCATTCGACTTTGATGGTGTTCCTTATGCAACAATGTTAACGAAGGCATATTGAAAAGAAAATCTCGATATATATCTTGAAATAACTCGTATTTATTAACACTCATTAATTTAGTCTATATTCCTAAAAACTGATAAAATACAATATTGGGTGACCAGTGGCACCATATTTTAATTAGCCTTTATTCGCGTAGAATGGGCACGTGTATTTCAGATATCGAGCAAAAGTTTTATCCATCTTTCTGCTTTTAACTGCAGCTGTGTACAGCTATTGGATTAGGCTCTCTTACTGGCCAACTATTTTCCGTAATTGCATGAATCGGTATTTTTACTTTTGCAGGGTGCAGGGAATCGCCATCCGTGTTATCCACATTTAGAGTCCGATAACAGCAAGTTTATTTTTTCCCCTTCTTCTCATGTTCCTCCTCGTTTAGTTTTAACCCTAACCTAATTGCGAAACCATTATTCTTCTTTTCATCTCCTTACTTATTACGAGATAATCACACTAATCCAATCACTTCACTTGTCAAACGCAGCATTCCTTCTTCACGTAACCATTAATTAAATAAAAAGGTCAGTTTTTATCACCTTTTTAATCAATAAGAACTGCATGAACATCTCTTTTTTGATTTATGATTTATCTATGAACGCTATAGGTTAAAATTCAATTCTTATTTAAATCCATAAGATTTATGAAAACCATAATGGCAAGTTTGAAGAAAACCAAAACAATTTTAATGAGCTTTTTTTTCACACTTGAAAGCTCTAGATACAGCCTATCATTGCCATTCCCACCGAAACAAGTGAAATATACAGCGGAAACTTTTTTGAAGCCAAAGAAGTTCCACCGCCCTGAAAAAAATCCTTTTTAAAGCTCTTATGTTCGTACAGTGTTTGAAAGAAGTAGTTTTCGGGGTCTCACAGTGATGTGAAGATGGCTCATCAATGTTCTGTTTCTTGTCTTTATTGCAATTGAGGTTGAAAAGGGATTTTTACTTTAAAACCGAAGTTTCAAACACGTGAGCTCAGCGTTCGCTAATGCGTTCCATGTCATATGACTGAAAAAAATTAATGATAGTGTAGATTTTTAACAGCTATGACTGTTTACTTAAATAAACGTAGCCCTAAATTAAATGCCCTTAAAGCCAAAAATAAGACATTTTGATATTTTAAAGAATGAGAGCTGAAACTAAGCTAAAGTTACCATAGTCAGACTCCAAAAATAAAACTTAATTTACTCTGGAACTTCATATAGTTAAAGTTATAAGGTATTTCTCCCGCCTTCCTAGCGTGCCTTCGTGGTGTAGTGGTCAGCATACTGAGCCGGTATTTCAGAGGTCCGTGGTTCGATTCCCGGCGAAGGCGATTGCTAATTTTTCATCTTGCCTGTTTCCAAAAGTACCTAATGTCTCTATAAAGTCATTTAAACAGAAAAAGTCTGCGGTATTGACTGCCATTTTGTCAGAAACTTTGAGAACTGATTTCAACATTTCAGAAAATTGTACTGTATATTTGCTATTCAAGATTTCAGAAAATTGTATTCTATTGGAAATAGGGTCAGTTTGAATACCTAGCAGACATCAGACCACATGATTCTATATTTGCTATTCAAGATTTCAGAAAATAATGAATGCATATTTTTCACATCATTCTTAGCTAACTTTATATACAACTTACTAATAGAGCTGCTGTTGGACACACAATGTAAAGGAAATATATTTCAGAGGACTTTTGCTTACGAACATCTTCTGTTCAAAAAAATCTTCAGAATGTTTTTTTTTTTTTTTTTTTTTTTTTTTTTAAGGCTGTGTATTTGAAACCCTTCTTTCCCGTTTAATATAATAATATAATATATAATATAAATAATATTATTATAGATATAATAACAACTGCAAAGATTATCATCATTATATCTATCAAAATAATTATACTACACTGATATTCAAATTAAGCTCAGTGTTCCCATCAGAGTTATAAGTACTTTTCATGTAATTTTCCTAATCAGTACCTTTTTGATTAAAAAAACAAATGCAATAATATAAATTTATGAAAAGCAACTGCATATGTTTGTCGGGCGATAGGACCTTTGTTAGAATTTGTTGAGCCGTGCAGTACAAAAGCTCTGAATGCTTGGATACTCATACTTGAAACATTTGGAAGAAAGAATGAGAGTATTCTTACTTTTGCTTAACTAAACATTCTCTTGGTTTCAATAAACTAAGATTATTAAGCAGATAAACACATAAAGTGCATTTTATATTCGATTTGGATGATTACGAATCATGTAAACTCTTCGGATGTTGCAGAAAATGGATTGTAAATTTTAATTTTGTTACTGTTGTTACTTAACTTGCTTGGTGGTTGTAGAGTTCAGCCGACCTGGGGCTAGCTAAATTTGTGATAAATGTCTTTTACAGAGCTAACTTGGCCTCTGATGAAAACTGAATATTAATCGATTTAAACTACTAAACCCCATTTTTTAAAATGAACGTACTGGAAGACTCCGAAATGTGCTGTGACCAATGATGATAAATGTTGACACACTTCCTGTTTCTGTTTCTTTTGCAATCTAATGTCCTTAAATGCAGGTCCGCCTCCGAACGAGCAGCAGGCAATGAAAATCTACTCACTCAGACAATTTAAATCTTACAATGCTGTGCAATAATGGGACACCTGCTACGCTTGATCGCTGCACATGTCGTGGAAGTGGCTGTCTGTTACGTGTGCTTGGAGGAAGTCATCAAGTGTCATTGAAAGAATGGCAGCTCAGTGCATCAGCAATTTAATAATATCCATTTCTTCAAGATCTTATTTCAAAAAATCCAAGGGTAACGCGAAAAATTTCTCGTTTCTGAGTAATGGGAAGAAGAAAATGGTAAACTGCCACACAGCAGACTGACAAAATGTGTTCTTAACTTTGCTGTGTCGCAGTTTATATATTTTATGAATGAGCGCTGATTTCTTTAACTACTGTTTTCACAAAATTAAAACTTGCTAGCATTTCATTTCTTAGCCTTGCAAAATGAACTGCTATATTACATTTCACCGAATTTTAATTACCTATTTGTGAAAATTCTTAATATAGGCTTGAGTTTTATGTAAAGAGTGTTCGTATTATTTATGTGTGGAGGGGGATGTTCAGCGTAAAAATAAAATATGTTTGCTAAAATTCTTAATGTAGTCCCGGCATAATAAAAATTTAGTTAGTCAAATGTCCATTATTTTTTAACAAATTAAGCATAAAATGCTTTGCACGTTTACATACAAAATTTTCCGAAGATAGATCAGAAAAAACTTACTGACTTAGGTAACTTTTTGATCCGTATTACTGACATAATTTAAGATTTCTGAGAATAAATATGTGGAGTAGATACGAAAAAAAAAAAAAGTTGTCATTTTGAAGACTAAAATTTTCATTCTGAATTAAACATAATTAAATTCATGAATACTGCTGTACGGTGTTCTGATTAAATTAAGTCATTAATCATGAAACATTTATCATAAATGAAAAAAAATTATGATGCATATCCCTAGGAATGTAGCACATATATGAGAGGTTCCTCTTCTTTGTAGCTAGCTGCTTATCGTGCTTTTAGGAGCATTTATCTTAGCGCCTGCTCCTAGCCTAGATGACACAGGCAGTTGTTCAAGACACCGATTTTCACTGCAAAGTTTTCTCCGCGAACGATAGCTAAATATAGTCATAGTTTTCTTTGAAATATTAGTCTGTTTAATTTACATGAGGCATCAACCATAGTGACCACCTGGGAGGGAAAAATTCCTGAACCGATTTTTTTTTAACATTTTAATATCATCTAAACTGTGATATTACTATGCATCTTATCATAACATATCCAAATTTTAAAATTTCCCATTTAAAGTTAGAAGAAAATAAGCTCACGATATCGCTTTTTCCTCATTTTTTTCCGATATATAAATTCTAATTAATTTAGTACGCTAAAAATTCTGAATATAGTACAAAGGTTAATGATGAATTTACCCTCATTTAATGACTTTCAGTCGTGTGTGGTTCTCCTGGTTCTGCATTAAATTCCTGTTCATTAAAGCAAAGGAATATTCTCATGATAGAAATAAAATCATTTAACATCTCATTGGCAACCATAAATCATTAATCATCTGTATAAACACTGACAAAGATAAACAGTTACAGGAAATGATTTTTCTTACCATATTCCGGGTTCAAGATGAGTGTTTATCACTTCTGGGTTCTCGAAAGAATGACCTAAAATAAGAGAATGCATAATGTAAATCCATGCTGTTTCAGCAATTATTTTCAACGGCAATTGACACATCCAGTTAACGTTTTCAGATTATAATGCATAAATATGCGCATAATATTTATGCATTATAGTAAAAAGTATAGAAAATATTGGCATTTCAAAATGAGTATTCGATTGAGCACAAACAGTTAAGCCATTCACATGATGCTAGCTTCAATTAAGTTTTGAAGGATTTCAGAAAATTTTATTAATTAAAATTAAATTTTCTTATTAAAATTTAATTAATTAAATTTTTAAATTATATTTACTTTGATTTCGAAAACTTAATCAAAAGCAATCATAAGCAACATGTAAATAATACCTTCTAGCAACGAAACTGAGAACAAAAAAGTCCAATAGAAAACAAATATATTATAAAAATGCTGAAATTCATCTGCGACAAACTTAAGAAATTAGAAGTCAGACATATGAATAAATATAAGAGGAAAAATTAAGTTGATCTATTTTAAAATGATCATGTTAAGCATTAAAGTGGAAAATTCCAAAGAAAATTGTTTGACGAAAATAAATTCAGTTTTTAATTAATTTCAATTAAGTGAAGAAGATGACTGGTTTCATCGGGAATATGAGCATGTGTCCATGATTACATAAAAACAGCCTATGAAATACGTTACAAAGATTTCATATCATCAAAGTAGCGGATGAAATCAGTTTAGGTAGAACTGAAGAGTAGTGGAAAAAAAAAAAAAAAAAAAAAAAAACACGTGAAGATTCTTAGAAATACGCGAAAGACAGATGAACATTGAGTTGAGTCACTGATAGATAGATATCTTTGGGGCTTAAAAAAACCGACTTTTTGCTAAGAAAAAACAATGCATGTATCAATAAAAACTAGAAAATTGTCAAGGACCGCTGAAATGTTAAGTAACATATTAATAGAAAAACTGCTATTTAGCTAAAATTTAGATATGTTTTTATTTATAAATATTTTTATTTATCATTTTGCTTTTTATATAATTTTAGATATTAATTATTATTATTTTATTTATTTCTCTTCCCTGACAGCATTCCAAAAGGCTCTCGCACTTCTAATTCCAAAAATTTAAGTTCTGTCATTACTGATTTGAAACTTTGTTGTCGTTATACATTTGGAATTAATAATTGACTGTAAAAGTAAACCACGAGAAGTAATAATTGTGTAAGTTCGAAAGACAAGATGGGGTCAAACAAAATTTTGTATAGTTGTTAAGTAGTTAAAAAAAAAGCTTGCTGTGTGTAAACTTATTATTTTAAAACTACCCAATTATTATGATTTGGATCCGTACCTTAACCTCTTCCTTTCACATTCCTCAATGAAAATTAGTTGTTTTTATATTTTAGCTGAGGTTTTTAGATCTTGAGAGAGTATTTCTGGCATGTGCGCTACGTGCTTAGATTCTGACAGCTCAAGCTAATTGTTAATACCTTACCTTTGCTTTCTCTCGTCGCCGATGCTTTAAATTTACGCACCATTTAATTGTAAAGCCAGCTTATAGCTTAGTACTCAATTGTATAGTCTTAGACTACTCAAAAACATTTAAATTATTTGACTGTTCGTATTTATTTTCATCACCAGGAGCTGTGGTTATAGTATCACAAAGCCGTGTCCTTATGTTCAAAGCTCTGTTTAACTAGAAAGATTGTTTTAAAACCTTTCTTAGACTTTTTCGTACTATCTCAGACAGCCATAACTAGCTAACGTGTTTGTTGGGGTTATAGGACTAAAGTAGCAGTGCTAGACAAAGTAAAACCTTATGGTGGTTTAAAATAGAAATAAAGTCTGAAAGATTTCAAATTTTACATTACGCCCAAAGGGGCGTTTTCTTAACGTTTTGTGTGTTACCTTTATTTATTAAATGTCATGTTTTTCGCACTGAAACCATAAAATTCAATTCAACAGCAATATCGACAAATAATTTTAAAATGAGTGTATCTTTAGAATTTCTGATACACAGTCTCGCGCGCTGGAGATAAAAAATGCTCTTTTTTCTTACAGTGTTGCCATTCCTCGCTTTGAAATTGTTGAGTTTGTTAATCAAAAGGTGGTTAAAGTGTTACAAAATATGAAATCGATAATAAAACAAATTCCAAATTAGGGTTTCCAGATGCCTATATTCGGTGCAGGACTACGTTATTCAAAAATTGATGGCTCTAGGTACCGTTGTTTTATCACAAACGAGAAACATGCATATATTTATGCAAATTCTTCATTATTCAATTTCTTAATATAACACAGGGAGATAATATTTCGTGGTAACAATTTGTCAAGTAAAACGAACATTTAAAGTTTTCAACGCAAAATGGCAAAACGAAATTAATAGCCCTTCTGGGCTAAAAAAAGGAAGAAAAGGCAAACAACTGTTATTAAATGGGTAATCAAATGGGAGGTTCAAGAAACTCAACATAAATACAGAGCTACTTGCACATAAATGGTACTATAGTAGTATAATAATAAGATATATTATTCTGAAGTAAATGGTAAAACAAAGAATTAAACAGCTTTTGTAACCTTTAAATATATAGACTAAAGCACTAAATTTTTTTAAGCCGCTTTTCTTTTTGTATAAACATTAAACAGTGACATTTCTACGCACAAGAGTCAATAATATTTTAAAAAGCCATAAACTGGTTAACAGACTTAGCTTTTATAAGGTAAAACCGTATTCTTAAGAGACTAAATTATGTTTCAAAATTACTAGACATTCAAAAATTAGTTCCCGTTCTTTATTCTCATTTGAGTCTCTTTCAGGAAAGATATCTAAAAGTGACTTAAAAGCTTCAACTAGAAAGTAAGTTCTATAATGTGTCTTTTAAGCAACAAGTGAAATAAAGGTAATTTGAAATCCTCCGACGAACAATGAAAAAGCGAGAAAATACAGCAGCTAATACCTCAGCAGCAATTAGTCTGTAAGATAAGCAATCCTCATGATTACTCTATAATGACAGACAAATATCTACTACATTGAACAGCGCAAAGATAATTTCTGACTTATTGTTCTCGTTTTATTTAAACAGATTTCATGCACCTGCGTTTTTCAAAACTGAACGTATTGCTTATTTTAGCAGATTTAGCTTTGTCACCAATGATGTTACGAAAGTTCATCATTTTTTTATAGTATCGTAATTCGTCTACAAAGCATGCTCGAAATTCTTAAGGGGAGAGAGGAATTAATGATGTTTGTCAATAATGACAGAAGAAATGGCTTGAAACATATTAAATTTCGTACTGCGATCAGTAATAATAAGTGAATTATGATTTATCGATATTATCATAATATTTTCTCTGTTTAAGACTTTTAAATAAAATTTTAAGTTCATGTTAGAAATTTTTATATTTACAATATGTTTAAAAATAATTCATTCTAAATAGTACTATATATTTGCAAGTATTAAAATAAATCTTTACTTATTTTTTAAGTAAAAATAAATCTTTTCCAGCTTGGCGTTTTGCTCATTAAACCATGACATGAATTGCTTCACGAGTAAAGTATTTTGAAATTAGAGAACTTTCTATAGTAATTCTCGATGCTTTGATTTTCTTCAGATTCATATAATACTTCTTAAACACTGAGAAAGCATTATTCATTTGCAACGCAAAATTCATGCACATTGCGTGAACACAATTTTTCGTTCTGTATTTTTAATTTAAACTAAATAGAAGAATATGAGAGAACCCAGGTATGAAATTTATGATAAATTTATGAACATCACAGCTAGGAATTTTATTAAAAAGTAGGAAAATGCGTGAGTGGTTTTATAGCTTACCTTGTTTATCTTAATTTTTCATCTGGTAATGCGTTATTTCAATACCATAAAAGATATTTTATATTTCTAAGATAAAAATAACAAAGGAATGACCTTTAGGAAATTTTTGGGTTTCTTGTTGATATCGTTAGAAGTGAAAAATGCCTTTAAACTGAAAATTATATTTTTCACGAGGGAAGTCTTTTCCTAGCATCCTGTTAACAAACGTAAGCAATATATATATAAGACGAAAGTAAGCTATATTTGAACTTCATATTTGAACGATATGATATCAGGTCTTTCATTTAAAATCAATATATACGAGAAATTTAAATGTTAAAATTTTTTAATTTGCTTCAGTTTTACAAATAAATGTTGTTCTTGTTTTGAAATCAATAGCAGTCAAAAGGTTAAGACTAAAAGAAATAAAGAATTAAAGTATTTTAGGCAAAAATTTGTATACAATATTTTTTAATTAGAAAAAAATTATCATTTACTTATATGCTAAGCAAAATTATTACTCTTTGCTTTTTAATATGTTAGCTTTAAAATACGAAATAAAAGTAAATATGTATTAAATTATATCATCTAATTAAAATTATTGTATTATATGTTATATTATATTTTCTTTGAAAAATGGTTAAGATTATGCAAAAAGTGAGGGTTTGTATTGAAAAAATTTAATGCTATGTTAATTATTTGTCTAAAGGAGCAATTTGCCGATAAAGGCTATTAATTTCGTTTCGGCATTTTGCATTTGTTCACTATAAAAGTCTGATTCACTTTTCAAATTGTTGCCACCAAATATTAGAGCCCTGCATTATATTTAAAGAAATTAAATATAGAAAAATTTGCGTGAAAGCATGTATGTTTCTCGCATTGTAAAAAGGACAACGGTACCTAGAGACATTACATTCTGAATAACGTAGTCCTCCTCTCGAATATGGGCATCTGAAAACCGAAATTTGGAATTGTTTTATTATCTGTTTCATATTTTGTAAAACTTTAACGAATTTTTGATTAACAAATTCAACGATTTCAAAGCGTTCCATTATCATCGAATGCATCTTCAAACACGGGTATTTTATGCGCGAGGTTTCTTTACATTTCTTACTGTTAATATGTTGGTTCAGTAGCAACGCAATGACGTTACAGTGTCTAAGGATATTTTACGTCGAATGACTTTAAATGTCTGTATCACTTGCCAAATCCTGTTTTG